AATAAATCTTTGAAATACAATTTTTCCTCCAACATTATTATATACTTTTGTAATATTACTGTTTTATTTCCTTGTACATCTACAGCTGGTAAGAGTGAAATACGCGAGTAAAATTTTGAATTATTACTTTTTCAGTAATAAAAATTATATATAAAAAAAGGATAAAATTCACATCATTATTAAAAAATTAGCATATAAAACCATCTTTTACTGTAGTCAAAATATTTATTCTTTGTTAAATCATTAATAGATACAAGTAAAAGAAAAATTTCTTCTTTAGACTTTATAAAACTTTTAGTTTATAAATATATTTTAAATACAATTATCATATTTTAAGAAATATTTATAAATATACATACTAAGAAAACATTTACATTTATAAATAAATTAAGGATTTTAACAATAAATGTAAATATTCTTAAAATATAATTATTATATTTTAAGAACATTTATAAAACCTATTTATATAATTAATATAATCAAAAATTATTTTTCATTTACATTTTTAAGTTTTCAACAATTTGACTTTGAAAATGTCAATAGTAATCATTTTTGATTATGTTAATTATCTATTCTGTTAAACTAGCTATTTTTAACATTAAATTAATAGGTCTATCCTTTTTGTTATTTGTGCAGGGGCTGTTTCACAGTACTATAGGATGGTTCTTTATTAAGTTTATGATCAATTGGAGGGAGTATTAATTCCCTTTTTTTAATCACTGAGCATTTTTTGATATTTTCCCCCCTTTTTGCACTTATATTATGTATTTTGTGCATTTTTCTATTTCTATTTAAAAATGCATTATTAATAAAACTTATTACATTTTTATCTAATATATATATTTTTTTATATTTAAATACCTTCTTAAACATTTAATTAATTTAATGGCTCAATGCTAATAAAGTTTGAAATTGTCAACTAAATTTATTTGTAATTTAAATTTTAAGTTCAATTTCAGTATCTACAGTTAAACGATTTCTAACTTATTCCGTATATTAATACTACCTCATATGAAATATGCAAAACATTTAAAACTGGAAAAGAAAGAAAAATGAAAAAAGAAAGAGTTTTATTTTGTCGTCATTAAATTCTGCAAAGGGTATGCAAGAATGAACTTTTGTGTCAACTAGCTACAGTTTTAATATGGTCAGAGATTGCTCTGAACAAGGTGAATCACACAGCATTAAAAAAAAACTCTAGAAAATTATATCAAGCACTTGATCCTTGACCAAAACACACTAAGGAAAAAGCCATGTGTAGAATATGCCAACAACTACCGTATTATATTGGGCTTTAATATTGCGATTATTATGGTACCTAACACTTTCCTCTAACGACAAATTATTTAGTAATTAATTTATAATAATTGCGATATTATAGCTCGATATAATCCAGTAGTTGTAGGCATATTATGTATGCACATCAGGTTTGTAGTTGTTGATTTATAGCTATGTGCAGACTGCATATGAAGCAACTTTAAAAAAAATACAGGAAATAGTAGGAAACAACCTATTATTTTTGTTTTGGGTGAAACAATAGATGCGATAAAAAGGTACACATTAAACATTCTCATTAGTCCATTAACACAATCCATGCTGTTAAGAGTTTAAGAATTAGAAATGACAAATTTCACAAGTGTTATACAGACATTCAATAGAGCATGTGTCAAATTGCAGAACTGTCAGTCTGTATGAAAGAATTTGGTTACTTATAATAGAAAGGCACCATACCCGCTAAGTGCATGCTCGAATATAAAGTTGATCTATCTGAATCTGAGACATGCCACTTATCTTGCCCATTGCCTTAACAGGATATGTAAAGGAATTAGGACAGAATTTTCTAGGGTCAATGATTTCATTTTGGATAAAGGCTTTGATTAAATGTTCGGCAAATTTACATCTGTATAAAGGAATAATTACTTGCCATTCCCAAAATACCCTGTAATAACCAGGTCGGGGCATATGGATTCAAGTGGCTTGTTTTATGCCAAAAATCTGTAATCCATGGGAGTATTCATTGAGAAACCAGATGAAAACTCTTCAGTGACTGCAATAAAACTAAAGAGTCTCTTGAAACGACAAGCCCTATTAAAGGAACTCTATGCTGTTTATTCAAATAGAAACTGGATTGCACAAGAACCTAAGTTTGAGTAAAGAAGTTTGTGTGAGAAGCAGTGTGAGATTTTTAAACAAACTAAAAGTCAGTTGGATGGATTTGCTTTAGAGAAACTGTGATACCCTGAGTAAATATCTAGATATTCAAAACACTAATTTCTGAGTCTCTTCAATCAAAATCTAGAGTTTTAGTGAAAACCAAATATGCTCTGACATCTGTTGACATTGAAAGATCATTTTTGCAATTGATAAATTTACTTTCATTGCATCATCTGCAGCTGACTATAGAAAATATAGAATGACTGTAGTTGCAAGTACAATTTGTTTGTAAACTGAAACTGATGGATCAGATTTTGAAAGTAACTAATTAATTTGAATTTTCTACCATTTTCTTGGGTGTTACATGTTCTACATATACTTTTATGCACAATAAAATTATGGTTTTATTTTTATTTTTAAAAGCACTTTTTCCCCATGAAAATCCACCACTATTTCAAAGAAAATTTGCACCAAATTATACTTCAATTTTACATTTTATTGATATAGTTAAGGATTTGAAATAGATATCCAATGCAAACAATATTATTAGAACTGCACTAGTATTTACAGAATAAAATCTTATATCAAAATAATTTTTAAAGTTGAATTTTTTTAATATAGTTAATACATTTTAATTAATATAAAAACTTTTTAGTAAATTCAGTAATAAATGAATTATTATTATTTTTTAAAATTAATTGCAATATTTTAACTATATTCTCCTTAAAACTTGTTGATATTTCTTTCATATGTAAATCTCTATAAAAATTTTTAACTGTTAAACAAGTAGTCAACATAAGAATTGTGTATATATAAGGAACTAAGTGCAAGCACACACAAAATAAATTGATAATTTTTACCCTCCTGTTCATTACATAATTATTAAACTTAAAGCATTATTTGGGCCTTACGTATTATTAATTACTATATGTGCATACCATGAAATATTTACAAATAAAAACTCATGAAATTTATATATACATTTTGTTACAGAAAATCCCACTATATTTATCACAAAAACTACTTTAAAACATACAAGTAATGAAATTAATTATATATTAAGAAAACGAAAACATTTCGAACTATGCTTTTTGAATTGTATAATCACTTTGTAGTTAATATTACTTTTATATTTGAATAACAATTCATTTTAAATTATTATTTAAAATCATTAAAAAAACATAATTTACAATTAAAAATTAAATATATTTTGTTATAAAAAAAATGCAGAGAACTTAATAGAAAATTTGATTTGTTCATTTTTCTTATAAACGAAACATATTATTTTGTAAATGTCGACAAATGTGAATCCATTTTTTAATAAAGTTGGTCATATATGGAACAAATATACACAGATACAAGATCATTCATAACTTCCAAACAGTTGAGCCTATGTAAATGTTTTTAATACCAATTGCTTTAGCATGTGAAATTACATCTAAATAAGCTTAAATCTATTCATTTGTTTGTGTAAGAAATGGTTCTCAATCTTTCTACTGCTACGAAACACCATTCATACATTTTTTACTATGTGAAGCATTAACATCAGTATATTCAAAAATCAATAAACAATTCCACATTCACTATTCTCACAAAGCAATAATGTTTGTTTGTTTAGTTAAGTTACGGCAACGCATCACTTGGGTGATCTGCCTAGGGAGAATGCCTTCCAGGAGGTCTTTTTAAGGGTAACTGGGCCTTATTCAGGTGTTACAGATGTGTGGAGAAAACCCGGAAAACTCCATATGGCCAGCCCATCCTGGCGAGGCGCAAACCCACAACCAAACTCCTAGTGTTTGGGGAACGGAACCACTTGGCCACTGGTGAGCCCAATGAAGCAATAAACTATTGTATGGAATATTAAACAAGGAATTGTCTACAAATAGAGTAATAAATTTGCAATATAAACTTTATATAATTTGTTTTTTTCACAGAACACAGAATCATCAGCATAAGCCAATGCAACATGTGGGCGACGTCTCCCGGGAGGACTTTCTATGGAAAACCAGCCCCTATTTAGGTATCACAAATGCGAAGAAAAACCAGAAAACACCACACTCAGGGTGAAGCACAAACCACAGCCGACTGACTACTAGCATTCGGTCGTCTCATCCACTTACCCATCGGCAGGCCTAAAATCCATCCATAAACATTAAATCAAGACTAAGACCTTTTGCTTCAGTCTAATTAAACATTTCTCTTATTTTCATTAGAAATTTTGATTAAAGTTACTTTTAGGTATCAGTACATGTATACAAATAGGTAAACAAATGACCTAAAAGCAACATCTACCCAAATCTCCAATAATTGAAGCAATAATAACGTCTTATTTTATAGATTTCGGGCATTTTTCATCATTTCCAACCATAAAATACGCAGAAACCCATCAAACACGCGCGTTTAATATCAATTTAGTGCAAAATTTTATGGTATGTTTACATAAACCAATCGCTAACACTGTAATAATAGATGCACCGTGCTCGAAAATTTCCCTTATTTATCCGAAAAACGTCATCGATTTTAGACCAATTACGGCTCTTTTACCTTCCAAACGCTTAACTAATTAACATTAAACGCGGTTAATTACCATTAACAACGTCAAAATGGCCAGACGACTAGGCTTAGTATAACATGACATTTATCGCATACAGAAGGGAAATTACACTGTTTAATACGCCGGAATTACGTTTGTAAGGTTTACCAACTAACCTGAGACCGTTAAATAGCTGTTTGGACTTCTCTAACAGATGACAGAACTCATTAACGATCTTCCTTTCCTGTTCCTCGATCTCGCTCATGATGGCCATCCTCCGTGTTGCATGATGGGATAGAACGTCCTCTGCTAGATTCGAACTCGGTTCCGCGGTTTTAATTTTCTGCATGTAATGAACGGAATCGTTTATTCTGAGGGACCAGCTACTTGGCTGTGTCTTTGCCCTCGGGGCCAATCGTAACTACTACCGAACAATCAGTGGCTGGTCCGCTGGTCTTAAGCTATTTGGGCACGAGGTTTATTGGAAGTCGGTTGACGAGGCTATACCAAACACACGTGTTTCGCATCGTATCGTTTCGCGGGGTTTCGTTTACGTGCATTTCGTTTCGAGATCGATAATGGAAGTTAATGGTAATTATATATGATATAGAAGTTAATTAATGTGGCTTACGAAATTATAAATAATCTTGATCCTCGTAAATTATATCATTTGTATGTTAATTTTAATCCGTTTAACTCGTGAAGGTGAAAGTGAAAGTGAAATTAATTAATGTATCGCATTTTCGTCACTAATTTAACGAGAAATTATTTCCGATAATAATACAGTAATAATGTGTTTAATGTAATTCGTCTTATTTTGTTGATGTTAATTGTGTAATAGGTTTCATGCATATTAACAGCAATCTTAATTGCAAATGAAGATTCTGTTAACAGATTATTAGATTGTCTTAAAATGGTTTTTTATTTATTTCTATATTTATAAATAGTAAATACAGCTTGTAATTCTCATAACTTATTATGTTTTCTTAATTTTAGTTAATTATTTATTAAGTCTTTAAAAAGAAAGTGAAATTATATATATCTTTTTGTAATATGTTACTTTTAAAGTGCTAATAGTCCAGTGGAAAACTGTATCTAATACGGATGGATTTTTCCATACATATAATTAATTATTTTGTAGAAATTAACTGACATTGGCAAAAAGTAAACTGTAACAATTTTAATTATCATTATGTAAACATTTTCGAAGCCTTTAAACTTTATTCTCAAGTGTTTTATTTCAAAGTTTGTCAAAATGAAACTGAGCAGTTTTATAATGTGTCTAAAATGCATTGTGTCCAGTGACAAAAGATCATCTAACATGGCATATAGAAAATTAAATTAATTAAAACATTAAAATACTAATTTGACAGAATATGATATAATAATAAACAGGTCAAAAGCAAAATATAAGAACATTAAACTGTTTTGTGTTTGTTTAGTACAAACACTAAACAGCTTCTCAAACAGAAATACTGTAACAGACGTTATTATTTGTGTGCATGTTCACATCCATAGATCCAACGATGAAACATTCTGAAGAACAACGTATCCATATTTTATTAATTATTGAGTGCTCACTGATCACTACAGTTAGCTCCTCTGCTGTTCTTTCTTTATCCTCACCTTTTCCCATGTTTATATGGGGTCGGCGTTTCCTTCTCTAATACGTTTCTTTCGTTTCTCCCTATCAAGGGCTTCTTCTCTCAAGCCCCCTCTGGTTCAAGTCTTCTTCCATCTTATCTTTCCAACGAATCTTTGGTCTTCCTTTTTTCCTCTTTCCTTTTATTACCAGTTTTCTGATGTTCTTTCCAACATAATTATCACTTCTTTGCTTTATGTGACAATACCACCTCAACCTGCATTCTTGTATTTTTTTGCTCAAGGGGCCCACCTTAACAGAACCTCTAATAAAATTATTCCTTATTCTATCTTTTCTTGACACTCCTACCTTCATCTCAACATTCTCATCTCTACCACCTCCATCTTTCTTTCTTGGGCTCTTGTTATTGCCCATGTCTCCACTCCATAAAACATTGCAGGTCTAACAACTGATTTATACAATTTTCCTTTCAGATTGCAGCTAACTTTCTTGTTGTATAACACACTGCTCAGCTTCCTCCAGTTCATCCATCAACATTGAATTCTATGATGCACCTCCAGGTTCAATCCTCTTCCCATCTCGACAAATGTCCCAAGATATTTAAAACTCGGAACCAAAGGGAGCTGTTCATTTTGGATTTTAATATTACACTCATCTCTAGCATTCAGAGTCATATAAGCTGTTTTAGTTCTGCTAATCTTTATGCCTCTGTCTTCCAAAACGTTCTTCCACTCTTCCAGTTTCTTCTCATTCTTGGTTTGGGAAAGTTCACACGGCACAATATTATCTGCAAACAGCATACTCCACGGAGCCTCACACTTCACATCACACACTATTACGTCCATTATCACATCAAACAAATAAAGGCTAAGAGCCGATCCCTGATGTAAACCAACATTAATGAAGAACCCTTCTGTAGTGCCCACACTGCTCTTAACTTGGGTCTCTGTTCCCTCGTACATTTCCTTGACAAGCCTAACATATTTTTCTGGAACATTCTTTTTCCTCAAACATCTCCATATCTCTTGGTACCCTATTATATGCCTTTTCTAGATCTATGAACACCATGTGCAAATCTTTCTGCATTTCCCTGTGCCTTTCCATCAGCTGTTTTAGAGCAAAGATAGTGCTTCTTCCTGGCAAAATGCCAAACTCTCCAATCTCAGATATCTACCTAATCCTTTCTACAATTTTCTCCCAAATCTTCATAGTATGGGACAATAACTTTATACCTCTGTAATTTCTGCAATTCTATACATCTCCTTTACCTTTAAAGATGGTCTCCAGAATGCTCTTCTGCTATTCTAAGAGGCATTATTTAAATATTGGCATAATAATAAATGCTTTCTCCCATCCTATTTAAGCATTCTTATTTAGTGACTCTTCCTATAGTACCATAATCTCCTTAGCTTGAGTTAAATGAGTTAAACAAGATTGTTGTCATTGTTATTCTTGTTATGACTGATTCATTTGCCAAAAAAAATGGATATTTCTAAAATCAGTTATAAATATTGCTAGTAAAACTCATTGAATGTTACAAATTATCAAAATAAATTAAAATTTTTTCAATTATTATTCAGTAATTAAAAAATTAATGTTATTGTAAATTTGATTCAGATAAATTCTAATCTGTGTAATAATATTTTTATTTTTGTAGATAGTTTAAAAGATTGCCCATCAATTGCCGTTGATGCTACTTTTGTTAAAAGTACACCTATTCCTGAAAATACTTTAAAAGTAAAAGGTTATGATTTCAATCAAGGTATTGATTACCATGCCATCTTGCAATCATACAGAACATCTGGTTTTCAAGCAACTAATTTTGGCTTAGCTGTAGAAGAAATAAACAAAATGGTAAATTTATTTCTATTTTACTTTTTATAAGGAACAAGGGAATTTAAAGAGTTTTTCTTCTTTAGCTTAAAACGCGACATCAACCACTTCCAGAAGATAAACAAGAAATGCTAGATGAGGATCCATTCATCAGAAGAAAGTCAAATTGTACAATATTTTTAGGTTATACATCAAATATGTCTTCTGCTGGTGTTCGTGATACAATACGTTTCTTAGTTCAACATAAAATGGTATATAATTTGAAAATTTGTGAAATTTTGTATTACTTTTAATAAATTTAATACAATGTAACTTTTAGATTGATTGCTTGGTTACAACTGCTGGTGGAGTTGAAGAAGATCTCATTAAATGTATGGCACCAACATTTATAGGTGATTTCTTTCTAAAAGGAGCTACACTTAGGTAAATATTAAAACATGTGATATTATTATATGCAATAATTCATTGCTTGGTTCAGTTGAAATAAAAACAACATAATACACCCAATTTTTTTTAATCTGAAAGATATGTTCCTGAAAAAATCATGTAAGAAAAGACTATATAAAAAAGAGTTAGGTGTATATATCATACTTTTTATTTATATAACATCAATGAAAAGTGTGCTAAATACAGAGTCTTTCAAAAAGAATGCTACCATTTTAAATTATTGTAATTATGTTAATTATTATCTGAGAACATTGTAATATACATTAAAACATTGGAAAACTGTCAAAGTTTTCCAATGTTTTAATGTATATTACAATGAGCAAATGTAATGAGCAAATGTGACAGTAAAGTCACATTTGCTCATTACAGTTTCTCAATGTGTGCACTTTGTGTTATACAGCAACATCCAACCAATACTCAAATTCTTCCAATGTTTACTATAGTATAGTTCTCACTCCTCCCACAGCAGCACAATTCTATAGCTTCTGCATGTTATTCATGTTGCACAATGATGAGTGATTCTGACTTTGTGAACTGCAGAACACAAAACACCTTCTCTGTTTCTTAGTTAACCATTTTTGTTTATGGTGCTTCCTAGAGGCAGTAGACAACACATTTGAATGCAGATGGGAGATGAAACTCAGACAGTATTTCTATTGATTGGTGTACATCACATACTTCTCAGATAATAATTAACATAATTACAGTAATTTAAAATGGTAACATTTATTCTGGAAAGACTGTAAATAGAAAAATGTTTTTGTTTTCAAAAATTAATATTTGTGTTTGTATGTGTATACCGTATTTTCTGGCGTATAAGATGACTTTTTAACCCTTGAAAATCTTCTCAAAAGTCAGGGGTCATCATATATGGTGAGTATATCCCAAACTCTATATTTTAACTGTAAAAGTCGGGGGTCATCTTATACACTAGAAAGTACAGTAATTATAGAATCTGAATTATCTGAAGTAACATGGACCAATGCTATCTTAGACAACTGAAAACTCAGATAAAATAGATGGCCATGGCCATTTCAGATTTAAAATTACAAATATTATGTAAAAGATTTATATGGTGTCACTTTTAAGCCTGTTTTCATATCTTATTGAATTTAATCATATGTAAGAATAATTTTGGGATGTCCAGAGCATGGCCCATTATATACAGATATTTTAATGCAGTATTTCTTAACCCGTGGTTGCGAAGATGGGACAGGCAGTTCACAGGCAGACTTAAATTAATAAAGATTAAAACTTTGTTTAATGATTTACTTTTAATAGTTTACGTCCAATTTAATTAATTATTTTTCTTTATGTATTTAAAACAAACTTTTATATTTATTATGTTATAAATGGTACAATATATCCCAAATGTTGGTAATACCCACAGGTTTAAAACAAATTAGGCTTACATAACTTAATGGTCCATAGAATTTTTTCAGGAACTTACTGATCCTTAGACTTAAAAAGGTTGAGTAGTGCTGACCTTATTTATCCATTTATATGTTCGAATATCTGGAGTCAGAGGTCAGAGTAGCCCAGCTGGCAAGCAGTTCAGTTACATAATTAACTTGTTGTTTTCAGTCTGATTATGTTGCTTTCTCATACTCAGCATAATGTTATTGACTGTGTCATAGAAGTATGTCTGGTGAAGAAAAACTATCAAACAACATGTACACTGAAAATTCTGTAAACAGTAAGTCTCTGTGAATCTTGTTATAGGCTATTGAAGTAGCACTTTTAAGGACTCTAGTAGCATTACCTAGTATGTAATTGGACCACAACCATAATAGTTTACATAGTTCTCTGAGTCATAGCTATATGCCAAATTTTGCAGTAATCTGACAATTCTGTCTGGGTGTATAATTTTTTAGTCAACTTAATATCTTAAAATTAAAAATTTACAAGCATTGTAGATATTTACAGCAGACTACCAGGTCCTATCTATCAATTTTAAAGACTAAAAACAAATCTCAAATGCATGGTAAGCTATATATGACCCGATAGCAAACAAGTAGGCACACCTGATTGGATAATGAAAGAGAAACTTTTAAAAAAGAAAACATTCGAAATTTGAATACATCAAAGTCTTATACACATTCCAAAATAAAATGCTAACACTGGAAAGATTTGAATTTTTAGGGATTTCTATGTGAGGAAGGTCCTTAGGTGCTTTGCAACTAAGTGCAAAGCACAATAAGGTTGGTGAGTTTTATTTATGATAATTAACACTTTGTTGTTAGAAAATTACTTTACTTCTCTTATTGATTTCTAATGTTGGACATACAATTGAAAGACTTGAGTTTCCTGTCTTTTAAAGAAAAACAGTTTTAATTAGATTTACATTTTAAAAGCTTCTTTAACAAATTGTTTCATATAACATCTGGTAAACTGTATCTGTTTACCAATACCATTAATGCAGTGTACTCTATTTTACAAATTCTATTCTTTAGCAAGCATGAATTAGTAATGTAATTTAGACTTGCTCTCCATATTTGAATGTTTCTAATTATACAAATCATTTTAATTCACAGTTCTGTTGTTTAAATGCAAACATGAAAAAATATTGTTCTCTTTTACGTGATGATGATCATATTTGTTGCTGTGATAAATTTCTTAATAAATTCTATGACTTGAAATAGTTTTGTTTTGAAATAAAAAAATAAATATTAATTTTCAGAGATCAAGGAATAAACAGAATAGGAAATCTTTTAGTTCCTAATGATAATTATTGTGAATTTGAAAATTGGATTATTCCTGTACTTGACGAAATGCTTGAAGAACAGAAAAATATGGTAAATTAAGTGGAATTTTATTAGAAAGTATTTTATTTTATTATGTGACAAATTTAACATTTTAGGGAAAAATCTGGTCACCTTCCTCAATGATTACTCGATTTGGTGAAAGGATAAATAATCCAGAATCAGTATGCTATTGGGCAGCAAAGGTAAATTCTAATTTATTTTTAAAAATTAAATAATAAATGTGTTAGCAAAAATCAGTATTAAGTTAAAATTTTAATCTTTGCATCAGTTGTAAATGATTTATTATTGTGGATGAGTTATACATTAAAACTGTTAGAATTTAACTGAAAATATGCATAAATAAATAAATATAATAAATGCTTAATTTAGGTAACAAATCTTTTTATTGTAAGCATTAGCATTTTAGGTCAAACATCTTACAACACTTAATAGAATGAATTGTTAAGTGCTTTTTGTTAGTCAGTTGTTTGGTTGAAAATATTGCTTTTTAATAAAAGTACTAATTATTTGAGTAGGCATTTATATATTTTTGTTAATGTTACCCAGGTATCGAAGATGGCGGCGGTCGCCAATTCGGTTGGTGCTTCCAGTCGCCGTCTTGTTTGTGCATGCACGCATGCAAACAAGATGGCAACCGTTGACAATAACCAAAATGTGCCTATATTTAAACTTTTTTTTTTTAACTAAAAAACATTTTTAAAGCGTAAATTTGCTACTTACTTTTTCCCGTGCTTTTTGTTTCATTTCCTACTTTTGGACCAGAGACGAAAAATAATAAAGTCACCACATACTACCTGAAAACCATTGATAACTGGACTTAGTGAATTACAAGATTGGATACATCAGTGATTTGAACAGGATTTGCCTGGAGTGCAAGTTTAAACCTATGCAGAACTGACTGCAGCCTCAGCGCTACTTCAGCTGTGAGCATGCAGCATCTCCTCGGCATACAAATAAAACATCACCTAGGTTATGAACAGTAAAGGATGAATCACTAACCTCCAGGTGGTCCGTCGGGAGCACGAACAGTCAAACATCACTTAGTGGAAAACTTAAACAGGAATAGAATACATTGTGAAAAGCAAGTTTTAACTGACTGATAAACAGTAAAAACAATTGGCCAAATTTTCCTACTCATTAACTTTAAAAAAAAAAACATGAACGCCATTCAAAAAGATAACAACATGCACCATCCGTCTACACTGTAACCGAACTCAAAGTTTGCATAATTCCTCATGTTTTCCAAGCGGAAATTTTTGAAGAAAATTTGCATACGAAACCATCAGTATGATAAGCGCTATCTACATTTCATTTCTAAATGCGCATGCCGTCAAGGTTACCAGAAGTGCCGCCATCTTCGATACCTAGGGTAACATTAACCTATATTTTATTTATTTATCACTGAGGTACAAATTATGTAAACTTTTATCAAAATATGCTTTTTAGAACAAAAGTAAGGTAAAACTTAAGGCTAATGTCAGACAAGCATCAAAACAGATTGGCATTGTTTTTACAATTCATGGATGTGAAATTTTAGGGCTGTGAAGTCAGTTGTCAGATGAGTACTATATTTCACAATGCATGTTAGTTGTCAGTTTTATTTCATATGTGTATATGTAAATATAGATTGTGATGTGCTGTTTTTTTAATTACATACAGAAGTATTTAAAAACAAAAAAAGATGTAAGCAATATTGGGTACAACCCTTGATTGAAATCAGGCTTCCTTTTTCTTGTTTCTGTCTTTATAAAGTTTGGATGAAGTATTCCATAATTCCAGCTGCTCACTAACTTGTATGATCATTTTACTAGTATCAATGTCTATTTTTTAAAATATACAGTACTGTATACTTTATTAAATTCATATCTTTTTGTATTTGGATTGAAGATGAAACAGAGCAACTCCAAAAATGTTTAATTCCATAATAAAATTTGGTTTTTATGAATATAAGCAAATCTTTTGATTCTTAATTTGATATACATTACATGTATATAAATGCCTCAAATACTTTCTCTTCATGTGCCATATCAGGTCATCCCAGTGTCGGTGAACACCTGGCGCAGGTTAGTACGGATTAGTTTGCACGCCAAGTGATGTCCTGGGGAAAGTTAGTACCAGAGTGGTTCCTCGTTGCCTTCTCTGGATATGCGATTTTTTTATGTGGGAAGAAATGCATTCCGGGAGGTCTTTTAAGGGTAACTGGCCCCTATTCAGGCATTACAGAAGTAGAGAAAACCTGGAAAACTCTACGTGACTAGCCTGTCCTGGCAAGGCATAAACCCGTGACTAAATTCTCAATGTTCAGGACAGAACCACTCAGCCACTGGTGGGCCTCCTCAAATACTAATCTCATATTAATTTTGTTAATTTTTTAAAATTATTTTTGTATGTTTATTAAGCAAAATTTAGTTTTAGGTTGAAAATAAATAAGTATTACAAAAAATACTTATAAAATAATGATATACAGTGGGTGATCGGTTAATGAACATAATCTGTTCCAAGACTTTGTTCGCTATCCGAATTGTTCGTTAACCGATTATCGATTTACCATAGGTTTCTATGGAAATTTGATTAATTCGTTCTGGAGACCCCAAAAATATATACTTTCTTACTACGTTTATTCATACGTAATAATAAAAATATATATATACACGGTCTTGCATTTTTATTAGTCATGTTTTTTCTGTTTGTGAGGGTTAAAGAATCTGGCCAATGTCGATTGCTTTTCTGTCTTCTTCATGATTTTTCAGAAGTAATTAATAGCATTGTAGCTGTAGAGATCCCTAGACCTATTAACTTCAAACTGATTTGGATGTCATTTTAAGACCATTGTTCTGACATCCTCCCACTTCTTCAAAAGATCTTTAATAGCAGATATCGGCATAAATCCACATTTTCAGAAGAAAACGTAAAAGAATTGTTTCTGTCAGAAATATAAAAGGCTGGAATTACAAGGGAGAGTTTCAAAGTTCAGTAGAATACTATCCGATCAGTATATACTGGGTAGATCGTCAATGTTGACATCTCCCATGCTCTGAAAAGTTTCAAATTGTTGCCTGAAGACAAAGGAAGACCAATTGGTATTTGTTATTTTACGTCGCTTTTTCTTGTGTTTGTTCAGTGAAGTGTTCGTTATTTGAACATGTGTTCATTGTCCGATCATAAAAATCTTTTGCGAAAGTGTTCATTATCCGATTTGTTTGTTAACCCATCACCCACTGTAAATAAAAAATTGATGACCTTATGGTCAAGATAATTAAGGTGTCATCTCACCAATCCACAGACCTGGAATCAAATCCAGATAAGTAATTTCCCAAGAATCTTTCATTCAGGATATGTTGAGCTCATCCCTCACTCCTGTTGTGAGCCTGGCCAGATCCACAATGAGTATTAAAAAAAGACCATCTTAATGTTCACAGGATAAAAAGAAATTTTAAAAAATGATATAAATTATTGCAAAATTTGTATTAATTATTAAAGTTCCTATATTTGCATTTTTGCATTCAGATAATATTTTCTTGTAGTAGTTATTCTATATTAACTTTGCATAATATAAAATTAAATTCAAGGTTAACTTAATAAATTTTTATGAATATGGTTTAATATTTTGTAACATTAACCATTTTTATTTATTTTACAATATCAAAACATCAATACAAAACTAAAAATTTGCATACTTAATGTAGCAAATTCTTCATATATATTTCAGAATAATATTCCTATATTCTGCCCAGCTTTGACAGATGGTTCAATAGGTGATATGATTTACTTTCATAGCTACAAAAATCCTGGTTTAATTGTTGATATTGCACAAGGTATTTAAAACTTTTTATTTTTGTATTTTAAAATTAAATATCAGTATGCTGTCATTATTTAACATAATTTAAATAAATTTTATCCACTAAAACTTTATAAAACAAAAGTAAATTAAGTAATAGTTTCAAGTAACGTATTTTTGCGGATTGTCCAGCATGTCAATCCATCCAGGGAGACCACGAAATCAGATATTTCTGTATGGTAAAAGCTGGCATGCTGGTTTATCCCAAGGAAATGCCAGCATGTCAGTTTAAGTGAGGTTATTTTATTGTAATTTGATCCAAAAATGCAAAAATAAACATATAAAATTTAAAAAACACTAAATTATCTCAACTTACACTATTAACATCTTCTATGTGTGAAATTTGAGAAGAAGGTATTATCTTCAGGGTCAGGAAAGACTGTCACTGCAGCCCACACTGACTAACTATTTTTACTACTAATGACAATAAATCACTAATTGTTTTATTGTCCCGTAAAGGAAAACTCTCTTCTGTCAGTCAAATTACTATGTTGTTATTTTATTGTACTGGGAAGAATGTTTACTTTAACATTTACTTAACAACTAGTTTTGTTAGATCTGATTAATTTTATTGGGTATTATTTATTAAATGTTTTTTATTCTAATTTTTTTTTTGATATAAACAATGTTTAATGGCACACTTGGTAGGTAGTGTGTAATGCTCTGTAACTCTGCAGCAAATGTTTGTAGAAAGATGATGATCTAGATATCATTGAAAGAAGAATTAAGAACCATTTTTCTTTTGGTTTTTCAAAACAGTGAGTAGTTTTCAGAGATATTGCAATTTAAAGTTATATACCTACTATACTATGTATGACCTGAGGCAGCAGGTGATGAGTCATAACATGTTTGGCAGCAGTTAGCAGCATTCATCAATGAACCATTAGCATGTGTGTCAAAGTGATCAATTAAGATGGTGCAATAAAAGATGCCAAATTTTTATGCACTAACTTTACAGTATGACACTGCAATATATGATATTCTCCAGAGGTATTGAAAGCTTATAAGAAGTATATGATGTTGCAATTACATTTCATATTTTAGGTATTATAGACTGATCTTAGCTGTAAACAATTGAATGAGGATAAAATAATTTAAATAAAATAACTAAGTTGCTCTTGAATTTTATTTTTTTCAATATATCTTTCATGGAAACTACATATTAGGTCCATGGACCCATTGCATTTTTCTGTCTGTAATATCTTTTATTTAAATTTATATTTTATGCAATATATGTATTTATATTTACAGACCCATTTTCAATATAAATTAATTGTAGTATGATTTTATCTTTAATTTTATTTTAAAATAGATATCAGAAGAATTAATACAATCTCTGTTAAAGCTGTAAATACAGGAATGATAATTATTGGTGGAGGAGTAGTGAAACATCATATATGTAATAGCAATTTAATGGTATGTTACATTAAAACAAGAATTTAAAAAAATGTTCTTTTTAGTATTAAGTTTTTACTTTAGAAATATCCAAAACTCCAACTGAGAAAAATATAATATGAAACTATTTTTGTCTTTTTAAAATTTTTCAATTATTTGGAATAGTTCTAGAATAAGATATATACATTTTAAAAACACAATAGAAGTCTTCATATGTACAGTACATTCTTAAATGCACAACTGAGTGAGCCATCCCTGCAAGTGCATAGGGACAGTAAGACTGTGACGCACAAGAATGTGTAGCGAAACAATACAACACATTCTTATCCACATTTTTTTCTTGTGTTCAGAATGGCAAGACACAGGAATGGACATCTAAAGGCAAGACAGCATGCATTCTCATCTGACAGCATGGTGTATGGAGTGCTGAACATTTCAGAAATTTTGAGTGGCACATTTTCAAGTGTAATCACATTCTAATCGAGTCAACCATGTTACAAGTGCAAATAATGAATTGTGTCCATGCTATTATTACTGCTGGAATATGTATAGTAGTTAATACCCAAATAAATAGAGCAAAGCACTATTGAATGAAAGAATGTAGGTCACGCTTTAGCCATTTGCCAACCTCATTTTTTATATTTTTATTGCATATTCTTTACTTTTGACATAGTATAAGCAAGAATCTTCTTTGTACAAATTTATAAATCTGTTACAAATTCTTTTGTTCAGCAACAAGAATTCACCATGGTTGCTTTCTGCAGTTAGATGTGTACATGTGAATGCAAGAATGGTTAAACTGACAAGACTTGTCTATGTGAACAACTGTACATTAGATTTACCTTCACATAGATGCTTTTGAGCTTGTACCTGCATAATGACCTGCCTACAAGACTGACTAAATACCAGATTTACTTTCACATGGATGCTTATGCACACATGCTGCTTGGCTTGTTGTAAATCATGCACTTAAATGCATGTCTGTAAAGAATACTAATGAACACATTAAACTATTCAACATCTTTTATTCAGTTCTTTACTCTAGTTGATAAAACAGTCAAAACATGTTTTAACTGGTGTATTGACCAGAGTAAAGAATTGACTAAGAGGATGCTGAATACTCAATTGTCTTCACTTAATACTTTATTGTATTTTTAAAAGTATAAAAAGAACATAACATGGTTTCAAATAATGAAAAAAAGAAACTATATCTTTGAGGAAACCAATAGTTTAACTAAAGGAGAAGCATTTTTGAACCTTTATTTGGACAATTCCAGCTCACTGTGTCATTTGAAATGAACATTGCCTGTATCCTGCATTAGTTTCAAATGATATCCTGAGCAGAAATTGATCCAAAAACATTTCTCCTTTACTTAAATTATTGGTTTTCTTAAAGTTGCTGTATTTTCTTATTGGAAATTTTGAAATGGTACCAAGACTTATGGACATCTCTGTTATTTTTAGAATGCTTAACATTTACTGTTGTTTTTTAAAATAAACTTTATTTCTGAAAGTGAGCCAGCAATGTACCAAAAGCATTTAGATATAAAATATTTAAATATTCAGCATTTGGTATTCCTATATTCAGTAAAAATTTGATAAAGTTAAATATTCCTATAATTTATGAACATGAATCCAATTTATCTAATCTTTATTAAAATTGAAATTGAGAATATAATCATACATTTAGTTGCATAAAATAGAAAATATCTTTTAAAAATAAAATGTTTTCCAATGTATATTTTTAAAACATTCATAAAAATCATTTTTTAGAGAAATGGAGCAGATTTTTCAGTTTACATAAATACTGCTAATGAATTTGATGGAAGTGATTCTGGAGCAAGACCAGATGAAGCTATTTCATGGGGAAAAATTAAGAAGAATGCAACTCCTGTAAAGGTAAGAAATATTTTAAAATTGCCTTTGTTTTTTCCTTTATATATTAATTTTTCTGGAAATGTGATTTCATTGAATATTTAAATCAAACAATTAAGACAGGTATATATAAATTTCTATTATAAAATATTTTAATTTTACTTGTTAAAATTCCAAATCTTCATGTTATTATCTGTTTATGTTCCACATAATAAAAAGACTATTTTTTCCTGTCATCATTGCATAATTTTTCTAAAACATGGATAATTGTGTGTTGAGGTTTTGACTTAACAAACATAGGGTTTTCCTCCTTTCCATCCTACTTCTATGTATATCCTCCAGAGTGGTATTTTTTCATTTGAAACAATTGGTTTCTGACATTTAATTCAGCATATTTTAGATTTGGTTTTTTTGAATAACATTTGCATCTCAAGATATTCATTTAATGGCTTTAAATTAGACCATTTAGCAATTTGTTTAGAGGTATTTTATGCATGTTACAGGCCAGTTGGATGTCCCTTGGGGTCATGCAAGTCCCAAGAGATGAAGATTGACTTGTAACCTGATTTTTTAAATACAGTGATAGTAAGGTGTTCATCTCTGAGAATAAAAAGGATGTTTAAAAAATGAGCCAATTTGTTGCTCTCTTGATTTCTTTGAGGGTAAGGCTGTTAATATCTTCAGTAAATTTTATGAAGTCAATTTTCTGGTGCCATATTATTAAGAGAACAGTATACTTTATATAAAGATGAATCTGCAGGATTTAAAATGGCAGAATCCTGTTTTCCAAGAAGCATAAAACTGGCTCACATAGACTGCTAGAGAGTGAGCTATCCTTAGGTACATCTTATCCTTGTAGGTAAGCCCAGCCTTTGTGGAGGATGAATAACATAACAAATGTGCCAATTTAATATTTGGTTATGGAATGCTTTAGAACTAGTGATGTGTCTAAAGAGGAAATCTCATATGACAGAAGCAAAGTTCTGTTCTAATTAAAGGATACAATTAAAGGATTGAAGGATATTTGTATGAATATTGCATTTATGTTCCCTGAGCCTTTTGGTTAATGATCTTTTAGTGATAACTATGTATGTTAACTTTCAATCAAAACTATCATCCAATACTGGAATAGTGTATACCCCAGGGGCTAAGTTGCCATTAGAACTGAGTCTTTTTTTTTAATTTGTATTTTAATATGTTTTTAACCTGATGCAGACCTCTGAACAGGGTTGAAAACATTTGTTTTGATTAAACTAGTGCTGGAATGAGCTGAATGGCCTACACAGCTCCAAGTGCCTTGTGTTTATTTTATTATAATTTTTTATATATAGTACAGGTATCCCTCGTACAACATGGTTTCACTCTAACATAGTTTTGAAAATTGGGGATATCTCTCGTACACCATTACTTCCAGTTTTGAAATCCTTTATACAAAATTTCACAATTTTTAAATGTAAACTTCGTTATTAGATATCTTTTTTATTCATTTAAGCATGCATTTTTGTCTCAAATTTGCCCACAGATTTTAGAATATTGAAATTTTCAAATTATTTGTACTTTTTGTCAGGTTACTTTAATGAAAACTTATAGGACAAGAAAAAACATTGCACTAACTTTCCTATCAACCAGGTGTCATTGTTGTTGCTTTCAGACTTTAGCCCTTAAGACTGTCACCACATTTTCTTTTTTTATAGATTAATTTTCATATTTAGTAAAGTTTATTTAAACATTTTTAGGTAAGTGCTATTAAACTTTTTTTAACTGCAGGTAAGCAATCATTTGTAAAATGATGAATGAAATACAGCGTTATCTTGGTACTCTAACAAATTAATATTTGAACACAAATTCTAGAAAAAGTCGTCACTTGGTACTCGACTGGACAAATGTGACCTGCTAGAACAAATTTTCAATTAATAATATATTTTTATTTTGTCATCCATAAAAAACTTTTTATGATAAAAAATAAAAAATTTGAAAATGTTACTGATACTTCCAATTGAGATCAACAAAAAAGCTGTGATGATGACGATAGTTTAAAAAGAAAACACTCTCACTTTACTAAAATTAATACTGCATAATACGGCACTTTTAATTGTGATTGTTAATTAATTATTGATTAGAAATAAATTATCAATTGCTTTAATAAACATATTTCTCTTAGCAAAAGTATACTATTATTTTTCATTACTAACTTCTGAAACATAACCTTCATGTTTTGCATGAGTCCTTTGTTTTGTGTAGTAAGGATTCACAAAACACAGCACTTTGGAACGTAACTACTGTGTTATACGAGGGATACCTGTGTTTGATCTCAACCTAATTTAATGGTTCAGTTACATTATAATCAATTTATTTATGAGCTCCAATCAGAGCATTCTACATTTCACAAATTTTGTGATTCAAACTTTGGATTTAAACCTATATTCTTTACCATTGTGATTCAAAATATTTTAACATGATAAACAGGTTGAAAACATTTGCAAATTAAACTATTGCTGGATATTTATTGTGATATGAAGACCAGTTTAAACTTTTCAGCAAGGGAAGAATCAAGTCTCTTAAGCGTAAGTCTCTGGCTGAAGTAGAGCTCAACCTATATATCGCCCACCCACAATTTGCAAAGACCTGCAACCCGGCCTCTCTGTATGTCCAACTGGGAAAAAGACCAGTTTAAACTGTTTAATACATAATTTATTATGTGGTATGGGCAATGGCATTATTTATCATTCCTTATTATACTGGTCAACATCATTAAGGGTCAATTTGGCTTGTAATGAGTGTAATTGTGCAGCTATATATGCTTAATGTGTTGGTGTTTTGCAGAAACTAATGAATAATCAATCATTTTAACAATTAATTTAATTTCTAGATTTTATAATATACATAATATCATTATTTTGAACAGGAAGGTATACTTTTTAAATGATGGGCCAAATTTTTTCATTTTCATAATTTGTAAAATTACTGAAATGATGTAAGTAAAAGTTTGTTAATTTAGCATCTGCAATCAGAGTAGTGCTGAATTAACTTACGTTTTCAAATTTTTACAAAATTTGATAAGTTATATGTGATCTGAACATTTCAAATATTTAATAAAATTAATAAAATATTTAAAATATTCAATGGGGCTGGAAATTTANATATATATTCAAGGCTTTTCTTTATTCTTTCTTTATTACACAGGGGTTATGCTTATTTTTCTTTGATAAAACAAGCTCCATCCAGACTTCTCACCAACCATACATAAGCAGTCTAGATGTAGCCTGTTAAACTCTATGGCAACTTCATGCCGAATTTGAGTTCTCACTGTCAGAATAATATGTTAATTCCTCCTTACTTAGTGCCACACTTTACCTATAAAAGAATAAACAAAGATCAATATAACACTTGATGTTCCAGACTTACAGGACATCTTGCATAAAGAACTAAATACAAATAAATAAATAATAATATTTATTATTATTGATCTTGAGAAAATACAAATAAATAAATAATACGCTTACAAACTACAATGATAAATAGTGTTTATTGATTAGAAATAAATTATCAGTTGCTTTAATAAAATATTTCTCTTAGCAAAAGTATACTATTATTTTTCGTTACTNTAGGAGAAACCAAACGAAAACTATAAGTAAGACTAAAAGAATATGTAGCAGATTTGAAATGTCATAGACTCAACTCTTTTTTTCACGATTATTCTACAGTACAGCAATACGATTGTAATATAGATCAGAATAATTTAAAAATTTTACGTGAAGAAGCAGAAACATATAACAGAAAATTTAAAGAAAGCATAGAAATTCTTAAAAGTAAAAATTGAATAAATAAAAATCTGAGCATAAAAATAAATGAAAATTGGCTGAAGGAGTTATAAAAGCGATTATGAAGATTGAATATATAATTCTAAATCTGATTACGAACGGTAAGAAATTTGCATACGTATTTGATAGAAAAATTCGATTAAAAATTTATTTTTTATTATTAATGAAAATTATCTTTTACATAATAATAATTGCCATAATTAAATAAATAAAAAATTTTTTGACGAAAGTAAATAACCATTATAACGTCAATAACAAAACTGGCCATCTTAGAGCGTAAGAATATGTTAATTAGTACACTATTGCGTAGTAAAAAGGTGGAAACAGAATGACGATATAATGCAAAGCAGGTGAAGATACGACCGTTTTATTAACACAGAAGAAGAAGAAGAAAATATGACCGTTTATGCTCTATTGGGTATATTGAAGTTTATAAAGAAAAAATAGGTTCGTCGTATTTATTCAGCGTTATTACAACGAGATAATTTATAGTGAATTTCCTTTTTAAAACAAAAAAACGTAAAATATAGTAGAATTTGAAATGAAATTTGATTCAACACCATATTGCTTTTTGGAGAAAGATAAGGAAGAATGCTAACAACATAAGTTTCAAAATAATAAAAGTAAGTATGTCATTTATTAATATATATTCGTAGGTACAATCCTAGCTCCAAATGACGGTATTGGGACTTTAACGGAGCTGTAGAGTATATTGATGGAAACAAAAAACTCAAAGGGACCATGCCTGTTTGGGCGACCCTTGGCAAGTATAGTCCTCTTGAAATGACACTATGCGAATTTTTTGACCCTCAAAAATAGGGTAAAATTTAAAAGTGAAATTTTTCAGAACTGAATCTCGAAAACCGCGTTTTATACGATTTTAGTTCGACTTTTTCTCTGTAGAAAGATGCGTAGTTGCGGGTAACAGCTAGTATATACATATTCAAATAATGATGAGGGACATCTGTACGGTAGAAATGGAGCAAATTTACCCGGGATGAGGACAAACTTAAGAACGCATAGTGGTTCCTTTTCCTCTAAAATTAATGTTGTTTATTCGAGAATCAAAATTTCGAAAAATGTTTTTTGAAGAACTTAATCTAAACTTGAATTATGTCAAAGTAGAAAACAAATACTGGCTATATAAGACGTAAGGTTTTCGAAATCGTAGTTTGCGTGAGCACTGTATCTTTGTACCAGCAATGACGCCTATTATATAAATTAATATTCCATCTATATATAGCCCAGATTCCTGATAAATCTATTTAATGGCCGATAAATTCGTATTATGTTTGACTTTTATTATTATTATTATAGATTGTATAAAGTAATATGTGTAAAGGACTTTTACACAGAAGATTGAGATGCTATACTTTATCACAGTTGTAAAATATTTTCAATATTTTATAAAGTGAACTGTGTAAAGGACTTTTACACAGAAGATTGAGATGCTATACTTTATCACAGTTGTAAAATATTTTCAATATTTTATATATGAATAATATAGTAATATTTTTTCACTCGTGAATTTTAATTTGGCAATTTCAATAAACTATAGAGGGCAATGTATAAACTTAAGACAGCAAGTGAAGGACTGTTTGTACAAGATAGTATCTTGATAGTCCATCGCCGCTTCATTCTAGAAGCTTTATAAAAGACAAAAAGATTGAAGTGCCAGCAATTATTCATATTTCACTTTTTTCATCTACTAGTGAAATACTTTAGATTAAAGTATCAGAAACTTGTAACCCAGATTTCAATGAGAATGATATAGGGACAGGCAGAAATTCCTCAGTAGGTTTTACAGGTTTGTTAGGATTCCATATATTAAAATAGGTTTATATTCATATGTCTACATTCTATCCTAATTCTGTTAATTGAAGTATTGTTTAAGCTGAAGGTAAACAGATGTCAACAAAATATTACTTTTAATAATAACATTGGCATAATAAAACTGAGCAAAGCAATTATTTTGCTTATTTATTTTAGATTTTATGAAACATTGAATTTTATACACTGCATTTAACCCTTGATTTATGTAGTAGATTAAATCTAAGAAAGTTTTGTGTAAATTGAAATTGTTTAAACTGGGACTAGCATTAATATGGAAAATGTGGAACTTTGGAACCCATCCTCCTATTTTCCATTAGTCTTGGCTTTACACAAAGGTTGTGGAACCAACCTATGTAAATCAAGAGTTAGGTATATATAAATTATAAGTTCCCATTTCGTAATATTTCATAATATTTTTCTATATTAGTAGGAATGTTCATGTAAAAGAGTTTTTAATTTTATTGATTACATTTCAATTAATAAATTCAATCAATAAAGTTGTTACAGTGATAAGATGTTAGAAATATTTTATTTTTGATTATATTGTATATAATATAATTCTGATTTTTGGTTATACTTACTCATTAGTTGTAGGAAGTTGATTGTATCAGTTTTATCAGTCATTGATTTTGTATTTGATAGTTACGTCAATAGTTATCAAGTATTTATTCAACATTCCACAAACTGTGATACCCGTTGATTAAATTAGTGTGGTTTTGTTAGCCACAATTACATTAATATCAATGAAAAGTTAATCATTTAACAAACTACATCAATTTGGTAGCATCCATTATTAAGATATTGTTTGCCTGAGTACAAACTGAAATTCAATGTTCGACTTGGATGTGTATGTGTATTTGTTGAGAATTGTTGTTCACTAGAACATATCTTCTCACGACATTATTTATTTAAGGGAAATCAACTTAATTAAAGAACAAAATTTGATCAAAGTTAAGGACATAATTATAGTAATTATGTCCTTAACTTTGATCAAAAGACATAATTATATTTTAGACATATAAGACATAATTATAAATAACATATAAGACATTATAAGACATAATTATATTTTATATTTCATAATGTTACTTTTATGAGTAAAATACTTTTGAAAGCAAGAATTACTATATAAATATTAGGTATATTTTTTATTACCTGACTATATATACCATATATATATATATATATATATGTGTTATATACAGGATCTTCCAAAATGAATGTGATATTACTGTAATTATGTTAATTATTAACTGAGAAGTTGAGAAGTATGCAATGAACATGATAGAGTAATTCTCCAAGTTTTGTCTCTTTGTGTTAAAATGTCTTGTCTATTACCTCTAGGAAGCACCATAAACAAAAATGGCTATTCAGCAACAGAGAAGACATTTTGTGTTTTATGAAGGAAATTGGAATCACTCGTTATTGTGCAACATGAGTAATCTGTAGGAGCTGTAGAATTATAACTGCTGTAGGAGTAGTGATAATGGATATATGGTAGTGAGTATAGGAAGAATTTGAATATTGGTCAGATATGTACTATGTGATGTGAGGTGCATGCATTGAGAAAGTGTAATGTGCAAATGTGAGACTTGAGCAGATTTCCAATGTTTTCACTCTTTGAGCACAAGATTGGCCAAAATTGCCGTAATCTGTTTGAGACAAAATTGGCAAAGGGAAAGTTGTTTGACTGGTTTTGCTGTACAAATTTCTCTTGTAACCTGAGAGATAAAAACAATTTTGTCTCCAGGTATATAGAAAAAGAAATTTTCAGAGCTTAGAGTTAATGTATGTTACAACATTCTCAGATAATAATTAATATAATTACAATAATTTAAAATGATAGCATTCTTTTTGGAAGACCTTACATATGCAGGAATGAGAAAATTTTTGATTTCTAACACTTTCTTTATTCCTATGTTTATCTTTAATTTTGAAATGTCATACTGTGAAACTATTATGTAAATTATTGAATTTCAGCTTTACCAAAATTGAAATTCAATAATTAATGTTGTAATAATGATGATGATGATAATAAAGATACTGTTACTTTTGCATTGCTTTAGAAATATAAAGTTTTTTTAAAACAAATAATTTTATTATATACCAGTCTGTAAGTTTAAAATTCTAAAAGGAAAAACAAATCAGTCTAAATGAGTGCAAACTAGAAAAAATGTTATATACTATTTTT